TAGTACAGTATCAGTGGGGTTTTTTTTCACTGATCACTGTATTGGTGTCACTGGGGATGTCAGTGACCCCAAGTCAGTTCCCCCCCAGTGTCAAAATGTCTGCCACAGTCCCGCAGTCCCGCCATAAGTCGCTGATCGCTGCCATAAGCCCCTGATCGCCACCATAAGTCGCTGATCGCCGCCATTATTAGTATAAAAAAAAATTAAAAATCCCAGTATCTTTCCCGCCATTTGTAAACGCTATAACTTTCACGTAAACCAATTAATTTACACGTATTGAGATTTTTTTTAGCAAAGACATGTCGCAGAATGCATTTTGGCAGAAATGACTAAATTTGATTTTTGCATTTTTTTTTTACTGGACATGTTTTATAGCAAAAAGTCCAAAATATTGTTTTTTTTTTTTCCTCAAAATTGTCAGCCTTTTTTTTTTTTATAGCGCAAAAAATAAAAACCGCACAGGCGATCAAATACCACCAAAAGAAAGCTCAATTTGTGGGGAAAAAAAGGATGTAAATTTCATTTATGTACCATATTGCATGACCGCGCAATTGTCCGTTAAACTAGCGCAGCGCTGTATAGCAGAAAAATGCCGTAAATTGCAGTATTTATACCATAGTTTGTAGACGCTATAACTTCCACACAAAGCAATCAATATACACTTATTGGGATTTTTTTTACCAAAAACATGGAGCAGAATACATTTTGGCCTAAATTTATAACCAACTTTGAATTTACTATATATTTTTTATAGCTGAAAAGTAAAAAATATTGTTTTTCTTCAAAATTTTTGGTCTTTTTTTGTTTATAGCGTGAAAAATAAAAAGCGAACAGATGATCAAATTACACCGAAAGAAAGCTCTATTTGTGTGAAAAAAAGGACGTAAATTTCGTTTGGGTGTAGCATTGCATGACCGCGCAATTATCAGTTGAATTAGTGCAGCGCCGAGTAGCAAAAAGAGGCCTGGTCATTAAGGGGGGTAAATCCTCAGGAGCTCAAGTGGTTAAACACTGATTTAGGGTTATTCTCACAGAAATGTAGCAGATTATATTTTAGCCTAAATTTATGAAGAACATTTTTTTATTTGCAACATTTTTAACAGAAACTAAAAACATTTTTATTTCAAAATGTTCTATCTTTTTTCATTTATGTAGCAAAAAATAAAAAACTTAAATACCACCAAAAGAAAACTCTGCTTCTGTAAAAATATTTTGTTTAGGTACAGTGTTGCATGACCACTCAATTGTCATTCAAAGTGTGATAGCACTGAAAGCTTAAAATTGGCCTGGGCAGGAAAGGGGTAAAAGAGCTCGGTAACAAAATGGTTAATATCAAGCTAATGTCTTTTGCATGTTTATCTAAAAATAAACTGAAATAGAAATTTAGTAGGTGCTTCCGACTCTGACTTAAATAAGGGTCATTGTATGAGTTTATTCTTGTTTTACTTTGATCAGGACCCATGCATCTACAGTAAATTTTGCAGGCTAAATTTCATTCATTAGCATATGATGAACACTATTGAATCCCATCACACTTAAAACAGTAATATATAGGGGTTGATTTACTAAAGGTAAATAGACTGTGCACCTTGCAAGTACAGTTGCTCTCTGCAAGGGAATGTGTTGCAAATCTTAAAAAAAAAATTAGGTGCAGCTTCACTTTGTAAAGAATACCCAATCACATACAAGGAAAATTAAAAAACAATGTTTTTGCTTGCCTATGATTGGATGATGGAAGTGAACAGAGATTCATCACATTCACTATGCTATGGGAAGAATGAGTGCAACTGCACTTCCAAAATGCATAGTCTATTTGTCTTTAGTAAATAAATCCCATAGTCATATGTTGTAAAAACATAAAGACATACCACTGTCCTTGCTTTTTTCTGTCCAGAGTTGGGTAGTAGGCTTGCCCATTGGAAGCTCACCTGTCCGAATGTAGTGAACACCAGATAAAACACTGTGGGCTCAGGCTGTGTGTTGGCCCTGAGGCCAGAAAGTATTGCCAAAACAGCCAGAGCTCACATGCTGGGCATTATTTAACCACTTGCCCTCCAGAGGATTTATCCTCCTTCCTGACCAGGCCATTTTTTGCATTACGGCGCTGCTTTACTTTAACTGACAGTTGCGCGGTCATGCAACACTGCACCCAAATGAAATGTACGTCCTTTTTTCCCACAAATAGACCTTTCTTTTGGTGGTATTTGATCACATGTGCATTTTTTATTTTTTGTGCTATTAACAAAAAAAAACAACAATTTTGAGAAATATTTTGAGAATATTTTGGACTTTTTGCTATTAAACATGTCCAGTAAAAAATTAAAAAAATCTAATTTTGTCATAAATTTAGGCCAAAATGTATTCTGCTACAAAAACAATATTTTGGACTTTTTGCTATAAAACATGTCCAGTAAAAAAAAAAAATGCAAAAATCAAATTTAGTCATTTCTGCCAAAATGCATTCTGCGACATGTCTTTGCTAAAAAAAATCCCAATACGTGTAAATTAATTGGTTTACATGAAAGTTATAGCATTTACAAATGGCGGTATATATACTGGAATTTTTTTTTTGTACTAGTAATAGTGGTGATCAGCGACTGCGGGACTGCGGGACTGCGGGACTGCAGGACTGTGGCGGGCATTCTGACAACTGACTTGGTGTCGCTGACATCCCCAATAACACCAATGCAGTGATCAGTGCTAATAAAAAGCACTGACACTGTACTAATGGCACTGGGCAGGAAGGGGTTAACATGTGGGACGATCAAAGGGTTAACTGTGTGCTGTTTCACAGTGTGCTGTGTGAGTGCTTTACACTGTAAGCACACTGCTTTGTATGACTCTGCTATGCAGAGCTATACAAAACAGTGTGCAGGAGCTGACAAGGGAGAGATCTGTGTTGTTTATACACAAGTCTCTCCCCCATCGGAAATACTCGGTGATCACCGGCCAGGTGATTGACAGCCGAGGTAGCAAATGGTGGTGTGGGTAGGGCACGCGTGCGTGTCCTCTACCCGCATCTGCCATATCACATATATATATATATAAGTGAATTTGTGCACCTGTGCCGCCCTGTAGTAGTATTTCTGCTATAGGGTGGCACGGAAGCGGTTAATCCAAAAGTGGCATGGTATCAATGGGAGAAATAGTGCCCCATCATTAGTATCAATGAGATCAATAGTGCCCCATTATTAGTATCAATGAAAGGAATTGTACCCCATCATTGTTATCAATGGGGGAATAGTGCCCCATCACTGATTTCAATAGGAGGAATAGTGCCTCATCATTAGTATCAATGGGAGAATTAGTGCCCCATTGTTGGTATCAATGGGGAAATAATGCCCCATCATTGTTGTCAATAGGAGGAGTAGTGCCCTATTGTTGGTGTCCGTGGGAGAAACTATGCCACAATGTAAGAGAAAAATGTGGAGTGCAGCACTAGGGCATAGAAAAAGTATTTAGAAACCCTATCTGAATGATACTAAGTTTGCTAATGCAGTGTGCATCATAAACAATTTTTTTAGTGTAGTAAAGTTTTTATCTTTTTGTATCACTTTTTGGTATCCTATGACTACTGACTACACCAGCAACAGGGCAAAAAATGTAATTAAAATTATTGAAAAATATAGAAGCCTTAGTTTTCCTTTACCGCTTGGAAATCCTTTGTGAATAAAGCTGTCAGTCGTGGTAAGATAATAGAAAGACACAGTAAAAACATTTTTCATTTCTAATAGCTGTATATTTTTAATTATTTATAAAATGTTTTTTCATGAGCCTTATGTTCCGGTTTATGCAATTTATTGGAGTGTACAGTAGAATCCATCCAAGTCTTTCTAAGGTGCAAGTTAAATGGAAGTTATTGTCTGTTTCTTGATTTCTGATAAATGTTTTGAATCAGTTTTGGGGGCGCATAAAAAATATCAACTGTACAAAAATGTTCCTAGTAAATAGTTGAAACTGCACTCAAGTGACAAGATAAGCACCCAGCACTCAATATGCTTCTATTGCTGTAAAATGGCAATCATTTTTCTTACATGAAATGTTGATAAGATGTGCTTTTCTACTCCCCACTCACAGGCAATCATTTTATATTTTATTTTATTTGAAAAGAGCTTGATTATTTCTCTTTATATGGAACTAGATTGATTCACAGATACCTGTCAGCAAGCACTCTTCCCATATTATGGCTGCTACATGATCTAAATAATGAAAGTTTATTTTCAACGTTCCATCAGGTGAAGTAGAGGCAAAGATAATCATTATTCTAAATCATATTTTCTGGGTGACATGGCCATAATATTGTCCCTGGAATGTGATGTTTCTAAAGACACAATAAAAATGTTGGTCTAAAAAACAAGCCACTCTAGAAAGAAAAGCTAAACCAAATAGACTGAAAGGAAAATGCTCCCATAACGCTTTATTGCTAAAAAAACAAATAGCTTAGGAAAGAACAGATAAAAAAGGATTAATTAGGTAACCAAATTTCATTACCAATAGATTTGCATGATAAACTCCTTTTTATTAAGCAGGAAGTCTGAAATTTAAATCAGATTATCAATTTGCACCTTGGCAAATGATCAGATTTTGATTTTTTTTCCCAGTGCAACATTAACTCTTTTTGAAGTCACATTTAAGTGGGCCACATTTTATGATCCAAAAATGTGCTACATTTAAAGTGTTTGTAAACTGTTAGTGATCTTCTTCCATTAGCTCTCATATTATATGTAAAAAAAAGGAGTCAAAAACAAACAAAAACAAATATTTTTATTTGCAGCTAGTAAATGCGTAGTTATTGATCAGGTCAGTTTCAGCTTCCTCTTATCAGCTCCCATAATATGGTGACAAACGCCAAATGTTTTGGTAGTATTGCCCCCCACCAGGGGCGGACTGATAACTCATGGGGCCCCTGAGCAATAGGGGATCATGGGGCCCCTGTGTCGTTGCCCAAACTCCAAAACGCCTATGAAAAAGGTACCAGGGGCATCTCATGGGGCCCCCTACTGACCCCAGGCCCTCGGGCAGTGCCCAAGTTTCCAAATGGTCAGTCCGCCCCTGCCCCCCACCCACTTCAGTTTTGTCTCACCCACAACTCTAGCCCTGCAGGTTGAAACATAGCAGCAATGAGGTAACATGACCATTCAATAAACGAAAGGAAAAAGGTATTTTATCAGTTTTTAACACCTGAAAAGTGACATTCTGTACATATTATGCTCATGTACTACAGTGTGAGTGGTGGAAAAGGACAGGGAACACATACAGTGTGAGTAGTGGAAAAGGACAGGGAACACATACAGTGTGAGTGGTGGAAAAGGACAGGGAACACATACAGTGTGAGTGGTGGAAAAGGACAGGGAACACATACAGTGCGAGTGGTGGAAAAGGACAGGGAACACAAACAGTGCGAGTGGTGGAAAATGACAGGGAACACATACAGTGTGAGTGGTGGAAAAGGACAGGGAACACATACAGTGTGGGTGGTGGAAAAGGACAGGGAACACATACAGTGCGGGTGGTGGAAAAGGACAGGGAACACATACAGTGCGAGTGGTGGAAAAGGACAGGGAACACATACAGTGTAAGTGGTGGAAAAGGACAGGGAACACATACAATGTGAGTGGTGGAAAAGGACAGGGAACACATACAGTGTGAGTGGTGGAAAAGGACAGGGAACACATACAGTGCGAGTGGTGGACAGGGAACACATACAGTGTGAGTGGTGGAAAAGGACAGGGAACACATACAGTGTGAGTGGTGGAAAAGGACAGGGAACACATACAGTGTGAGTGGTGGAAAAGGACAGGGAACACATACAGTACAAGTGGTGGAAAAGGACAGGGAAAACATACAGTGTGAGTGGTGGAAAAGGACAGGGAACACATACAGTGTGAGTGGTGGAAAAGGACAGGGAACACATACAGTGTGAGTGGTGAACAGGGAACACATACAGTGTGAGTGGTGGAAAAGGACAGGGAACACATACAGTACGAGTGGTGGAAAAGGACAGGGAACACATACAGTACAAGTGGTGGAAAAGGACAGGGAAAACATACAGTGTGAGTGGTGGAAAAGGACAGGGAACACATACAGTGTGAGTGGTGGAAAAGGACAGGGAACACATACAGTGTGAGTGGTGGAAAAGGACAGGGAACACATACAGTGTGAGTGGTGGAAAAGGACAGGGAACACATACAGTGTGAGTGGTGGACAGGGAACACATACAGTGTGAGTGGTGGACAGGGAACACATACAGTGTGAGTGGTGGAAAAGGACAGGGAACACATACAGTGTGAGTGGTGGAAAAGGACAGGGAACACATACAGTGTGAGTGGTGGAAAAGGACAGGGAACACATACAGTGCGAGTGGTGGAAAAGGACAGGGGAACACATACAGTGTGAGTGGTGGAAAAGGACAGGGAACACATACAGTGTGAGTGGTGGAAAAGGACAGGGAACACATACAGTGTGAGTGGTGGAAAAGGACAGGGAACACATACAGTGTGAGTGGTGGACAGGGAACACATACAGTGCGAGTGGTGGAAAAGGACAGGGAACACATACAGTACGAGTGGTGGAAAAGGACAGGGAACACATACAGTGTGAGTGGTGGAAAAGGACAGGGAAAAACATACAGTGTGAGTGGTGGAAAAGGACAGGGAACACATACAGTGTGAGTGGTGGAAAAGGACAGGGAACACATACAGTGTGAGTGGTGGACAGGGAACACATACAGTGTGAGTGGTGGAAAAGGACAGGGAACACATACAGTGTGAGTGGTGGAAAAGGACAGGGAACACATACAGTGTGAGTGGTGGAAAAGGACAGGGAACACATACAGTGCGAGTGGTGGAAAAGGACAGGGAACACATACAGTGCGAGTGGTGGAAAAGGACAGGGAACACATACAGTGCGAGTGGTGGAAAAGGACAGGGAACACATACAGTGTGAGTGGTGGAAAAGGACAGGGAACACATACAGTGTGAGTGGTGGAAAAGGACAGGGAACACATACAGTGTGAGTGGCTGAACCTCAGACAGATATTAACTACTTGCCCTCCAGAGGATTTACCCCCCTTCCTGACCAGGCCATTTTTTGCATTACAGTGCTGATTACTTTAACTGACAATTGAGCAGTCATGCAATGCTGCACCCAAATGAAATTTACATCCTTTTTTCTCACGAATAGAGCTTTTTTGGTAGTATTTGATCATCTCTGCGCGTTTTTTTTTTAATTTTGGCGCTATAAAAATTTTAAAAAAGACCGACAATTTAGAGAAAAAAATATATTTTTGACCTTTTGCTATTACACATGTCTAGTAAAAAAATTTAAAAAATCAAATTTCATCATATATTTAGGCCAAAATGTATTCTGCTACATGTTTTTTGTTAAACAAAATCCTAATATGTGTAATTTAATTGGTTTACGTGAAAGTTATAGCATCTACAAATGGAGGTATATATACTGGAATGTTTTTTTTTTTTTACTAGCAATGGTGGAGATCAATGACTTATAGCGGTACTGCGGGACTGAGGCAGGCATTCTGACACTGGGGGGAACTGACTTGGTGTCACTGACATCCCCAGTGACACCAATACATTGATCAGTGCTAATAAAAAGCACTGACACTGTACTAATGGCACTGGGCAGAAAGGGGTTAACATGTGGGGCGATCAAAGGATTAACTGTGTGCTATTTCACAGTAAGCTGTGTCTGTGTTTTCCACTGTAGGCACACTGCTTTGTATGGCTCTGATATCTATAGCCATACAAAGCAGTGTGCTAGAGCTGACAGGAGAGAGAGAACTGCCCGCACCCAGCAATTGCCCAGGAACACTGACAGGGGAGAGTTCTGTATGTAAACAATACAGATCTCTCCCCTGTCAGCACCAGCACGCTGCTTTGTATTGCTCTGCATAGCAGAGCAATACAAAGCAGTGTGCTTACACAGTAAAGCACACACAGACAACATAGTAAAACAGCACACAGTTAACCCTTTGATTGTCCCAGATGTTAACCCCTTCCTGCCCAGTGTCATTAGTACAGTGTCAGTGCTTTTTATTAGCACTGATCACTGTATTAGTGTCAGTGGGAAAATCAGTGGTAGTTAGTTCCCCCCCAGTGTCAGAATGCCCGCCGCAGTCTCGCTGTAAGTCGCTGATAGTCACCATTACTAGTATAAAGAAACTTTTACCAAAAATTCTAGCATATATATCGCCATTTGTAGACGTTATAACTTTCACGTAAATCAATTAATTTACATGTACTGGGATTTTTTTTAGCAAAGACATACATTTTGTCCTAAATCTATGGCAAAATTAGATTTTTAAAATTTTTTTATTGGATATGTTTTATAGCAAAAACTCAAAAATACTTAATTGTCGGTCTTTTTTTTCTGTTTATAGTACAAAAAATAAAAACCACAGATGTGATCAAATGCTACTGAAAAAAAGCTCTATTTGTGGGAAAAAAAGGGCATACATTTAATTTGGGTGCAGCATTGCATGACTGCGTAATTGTCAGTTAAGTAACTCAGCGCCGTATTGCAAAAAATGGCCTGGTCAGGAAGGGAGGTAAATCCTCTGGAAGGCAAGTGGTTAAATAATGTTTTCAGTTTGTGGTACCTGATTTCCACTTTAAATACATTTATAATAAAACAAGTGTGTGGGTGGAGTTTGCTTATGCAGTATGGGTGGACAGACATATGAATTTAGGAAGTTACAAAAATGAATAGTGTAGGTATAGCAGTGTGCTATGAATAAATTGTTTTATATGTATTTTAACTGAAAATTGATGCTTGCGTTATACAAACACCTTTGTACAGACAGCCCACTTGTATTCAATTCATACAACAACACTTGGGTCGTATAGAAACCAATGCTTGCAGAGAAACCAGTCAGCTGATGTTAGAAGTTGATTGGCTACCAGGCACAGCTGCACCAGATTGTTCACTCTCCAGTTTTAATAAATGAATTCCATTGGAGGCCTGGAAAAAAAACCCACACCCAGGGCTGGAGATACTTGTTTGTAGAAGGGAGCAGGAGCAGTCTCAGTGGATGCTGCAGCATGTATTCAATTCATGTTTTCAGTCCATTCAAGAGGATGGCACAGACATTTTAGGCAATAGATCTCAGCACTGCTAATTCTATTGAGGAAACACTGACATCCTGCCTAAAGGACATCTAAAATATCATATAACATTTCATACATTAATTTTTAATTTTAATAGTAACTTTTAAATTGTTTAAGTCTGCAGCATGCATTAAAATCATATCTGGCAAAACCTGTTATTAAGGTCCTTGTGCAGGCACTTCCTGTCATAGGGTAACCCCACTCTGTCCCAGTCTCTCAATCATTCTCCTGTGTTGTCACCTGCCTTTTCATTTGGTGACTACAATCAGTCATGTTGGTGCATATTGCACAGGCATTGTCTACCTCTGTCACCTTTAGGAAACCTTCCCTGAAAAATGTAATGCTGGGGTGCATGCACATAGACAGGAACGAAAGATCTTTTTCATTCTTTGTTGCATCTTAGCACTGCTAATTTCCTAATTAGCAGTACTAAGATGCCACAAAGAATGAAAAATAAGTAAAACAGTATTTTATTTTAAAAAGGCAATTGTTTCGGGCACGGTTCATTAGCAAACCAAATGTTATTATATTAGGGGTTACATGTACTTTAAAGTGGAGTTCCACCCATTTTTTAAAGTGCATCTCTGTACATTGTACCTGACAGGTAAAGCATGATTTGGATTTTTTTTTTTTTTTTGTATTATAAATACCTTTAAAATCCTTTTTAGGACTGCAGTTCCGGTCCCGGACCCTTAGTCGAAGGCAAAATTGCAAGGTCTCCTGGGATGTTGTATCCTGTATTCCAGGAGTCCTTTGGGTTCCTAGTATCGCAGTACTTCCAAACCGGAAATTATGTGAATGGGAGGGGTTTGGCGCCATTTTACCGGAGTCCTGTGTGTGGAAGACATGGCTGCTGTGTGCTGCGGACTGCGCTGTTCTCTAAAGCTGGAATTGCAGAGTGTGTGTACATTGCACTCTGCCTAGTTAATTTGGGCACTTTGCTAACTATCTTTTGTGTGGGCAATCAACTTTTAATCTGATGTGGTCACTCTTGATGAGCTAACTTTCTGTGGTTTAGTTACGGTCATGGTGATACTGGCTGTTTTCATAGATATATATAGCTATATTTCAGACACAACAAACTGGAAATGTGATAAATTGATGTTCTCTTAAAATTAACATTCAATATTATGGTTGCGGGGGCGTGCTCCGCTTCGAGACTTCACTTTCCTTCCCCGTGGAGTGAACTGATGTACAGGTTGCCATAAGGGGGCAGGAACTTCTGCCATCCCCGCCATTATTGTGGCAACCTGTAGTGCACAAGTCGCGTCGAACAGTGTCAGTACTGCGCATTGGACATTATAGGCCAATTAGACCTTTAAACATAATATACTTTTATATCTCTCTACAATTGTTAACAGATAAAATCGTTTAAGTTAATTTTTATTAATTAACACCTTTTGATTTCTTTTTTTTAATTAAATTAGTTTTTGATCTCTTTGTTTATCCTATTATGTCTAGATGGATGTTTGATGTCCATTGTTTCTTCTCCTATGGTTGTGGACGTATAGGTCAATTAGATCTTTGTTACGTTATACCTATATATCCTTCTAAAGCATTTAACAGGTAAAATTCCCCAAAGCTAGCTTTAACCTAATGAATTATGATCTGTTCTTCATATCTTCCATTAAATTTAATTAATTTCTTTTTTGTCTATCCTATTATGTCTAGATGATATTTGATGCCTATTATATCCTATACAACTGTTTTGAATGTGTAGGCCAATTAAGATCTTTGTTAGTTAATTTTTTCCTAGCTCTGTGAGCTTTCACATCCAGGGTGAGCCATTGAGTCCCATATATACATATATTTGATTAAATACTTTGTATTAGATATATTAAAGTTGTTTGGTAACTATATAATGTTCTTTTGATATACCTTTAGACTGCCTCGGCGGTTGAAATTCCTTCAAAAAATCTCCCCTGAAGAAGCCTGTGAGGGCGAAACATGCAGGGAGTGACCACAATTACCTAACCAAGTTTCAATCTCAGTTTTACCCTTAGTACTGAAATTGTTTTTATGTTTCTGTATTTTTTCCTTTCTTGTTGTGTTTTTTTACAAAAATCCAAAATAAAAATTATACAACTTTTTAATATGCTTAGTACTCATGTTCATGCACCCTGAAAGTCCCATCTTCTCTATTGAAAATATGCGCAGGCGCAAGATCGAGTGGTGCATGCTGGGATAGCCACCAGCTCCAATTCCAGGAAGTAAAGACCTGCGGGCTTCAGATGCCCACAGCCATCATGGTGCCTGCCTGCTTCCGAGATCCTTGTAAAGTTTAACCTATTTTAAAGTAATCACAATGCTATTACTAAATAATCTATCCAATGGTTAATGCTAATGTAAAGGAAATCGTTGATCTGCTTTTAAAAAAAATGTATTCTGTGGACTGAAGCTCCGCTTTAAAGCCCTATTCCAATTTCCCTTGCACCCTCTTTAAGTCTGTCTTTTTACATCAAGCACCTCATTTCTACAATGCTGCATAAGTGGGGATGTTAGTGTGGTCTAAAGAGAATAATAGTGGGGCATCAAGAAGACAGGTCCTCCAGCACACAGGGAGCTAGTTGGGGAGACCAGTATCCTTCCCAGAAAATGGACAAGGATGCATTACACAGATGATTACAAGAGGCTGGTGCAAGATACACAAAAACATTTGATGAATGATGACCAGGCAGGTGAATTCTAATTTTTTATATTGTATTATTATTAATATTATTTTATATTTTGGTCTGTGGCCAAAGTTTAGCCTTAAATGGTGCCATCCATAGATACAGTATAAGATGTGCATTTCCTGCTCTGGCTGATTTTAAATTAACCTGCAGCTAAGGACACTGTCTTGTCTGTCATCTGTAATACTGTTACCCTTGTCATGTATACGATTTAGAAGGCACAGTAATACTGCTTTACCATTTCATAGAATAAAATGTTCTTTTTAGTGAATGCATAATGTACGGCAGTGATAGGACTGATGAATGTTATGATTACAAGATACATATTGCCACTG